TCTCTCTCTCTCTCTCTCTCTCTCTCTCTCTCTCTCTCTCTCTCTCTATCTATCACTCGTTCTCACTTGTTCCTCCTCTGCGAGAAAGAGAGAGAGCTCGATGCGCATTGCGCCGTGTGAAAGTCTGTATTTGCCCATAAATTAGAAATTATAATTGCGTTTGTTTGCCGTTTTGGCAATCGAATTGTTTATATGTTCATCGCATCAAGAAAAGATAGCGAATATGATACGGGGGTGTATGGTTATCTAAAGCAATAAGTTCGAAGGCCATTTTGGTGGCACAACTCCATAATTACACACACATATACCGTGCCGGCGATTTCGGTCACAAACACGTGTATAGGCATATATTAAAGTCATAAACTCAAAGAAGAGATTCTGCTGAGTGAAAACACTTGGACTGCGAATCGAATTTGACTTTGCGGCAGAAAATGGGTTATCGTTTCTCTTTTTTTTTTCTCTTGGAAAATGTGATGAGATCAGCATGGAGTAGTAGCTAAATTCATGCTCACTTCCTGCCAAACTATCGATCGAAACAACAACAACACTTCTGTGTTACTCAGTTGGGTTTTTAAATCGATTGCCATTTGCAAATCGTTAACACTGCGAAAATTCTAAATATGAAATTGAATTGATAAATAAACAAATCATTATCAAACCACAGAAAAACATTGTCTGTGAACTGTTTTAAACGGGAGATTTGAATTTACTACAACATGGGTAGTAAATTCAGGCGATTTTTTTTCTGTTGCCATAAATCCACAATTCGCTTGCACAATGGGTTTCTGTATTCTTAGAATCAGGAATTCGGGCAACCATATTTCATTCGACGTAAGCAAGGCCAAAAGAGCACATAAGCACTGCCCATCACTGATATGACGGTGACAAAGTGAACACAATGTGTATTCGTTGAGTGCACATATTTTGTTTGCTGCCACTTCCAATTCAGTATCAAGTAATAAAACGGCCCATTTTCGTACGAAATGTTCATGATCTCAGCTGAGTTGCAACACTGTTTACGTGCGACTTCTCTTTACATCTCTCTCTCTCTCTCTCTCTCTCTCTCTCTCTCTATCTGACTCCCTCTTGATTTTACTCATTAGGTTTAAATGTAAATGTGTGACGGTTCGAATTTGAGAATAAAACTCTGGACGAGTTCAATGATTTCATTAAAAAGAAACCACTTCGAAAACCAACTCAATCAACACCCAACCGTAATAATCACGAAATCTAACCCAAAAAAAACACTTCGTTGCAATCGAACCGGCTGAAGCCAGTTTTTATAGATCAAAAAATGGAGCAATCACAATTTTACAAGTTGTTATTTTACGAACATAATTCGATGTGTCATCCAATCCCATTCATCACGCTGCGCAGGCCGAAAGCTCAATAAAAAAAGAAGTAAAGAGCAATTTTATTCAAATTTATGAATGGCCATTAACAGAAAAATGAGACCGCGCAGCTTAATGCGAAACATCTTATAAAAATATCGTGGAAAAAAGATAAAACGAAGTTTATTCTGAATGAATTAAGTGTTTCTCCGAAGAAAAAGAAGAAGAAGAAGAAGAAAGCGTATGTGTATCGCCAATCCAAAATATACGAGATCAAAGGAGTTTTGGCTCGCTACTAAGATCTACAGGTGCACATATCTAGTTGCTGTATAGAGCGAGTAGAGTATATCGACCGATCGCTGAGAGAAAACTACTGACGCTTTTGTTGTGCGTCGAAATGTAACAGATGCTCGAACGACGACGGGGCTCTGATTTCGACTTGTGTTTTCTTTTGTTGTTATTCACTTTCATTGAGTTTCGATTGGCGAAGAAAATCATCCGAAAATGTACAGTGTGTATCTTTTGTTTTTGCGCATTGCAATGCGAAAAAGTCGAAAAAGGCGAATTGAGGTCATTTCGTAATTTTAGGAACAGGAGCACCAAAAAAGAGCATACATTGGAGATGCAGGCTTAATTTCACTTTCTATCTCTCTCTCTCTCTCTCTCTCGTCCGTCTTCTTTTCGACACATGAAATCAAATACACGCTACGAACTCGAGGCGGCTGATAAATATAAATATATCCATAAATTAGTTGATTACAACATTTTATATATTTGCCTAAGTCGGTCGGTCGGTCGCTTCTCTATCTTATCTCTTTTGAAAAAAATATTCTATCGTCACGAGAGCGAAAGCGAAACCGTACTCGCTTTGTCGTGCCCGTGTATTTTTGTCGCTCAGAATTTTTCACCAATTTTCAGCCGAAAAAAGAGAAAATTCGAAAAATAACGGATACCTCGAGATTGAAGAAGTAGCAAAATTAAGAAAAAAACCTATGCCACTTGATAGAATATATTTTATTTACCTCATAAGCAATCATGCATCGTATATATTTTATGATTTGGATGTTTATCACGCGTCCATACGTTATCGTTAGCCGCGCAAAGCCATAAAAAATGAGCCAAAAATTCCTTGCATTTTATCAAGCTCCGAGACCAACATTTGAACCCACAATTTTTTATTATTATTTCACCAAAATTCGACACAAGAAAATATGCAACTTTAAATAATCGCATTTTATTTTGGACGAAGTCGTTGTGAAAAGAGACACACACGAAATCTTTCGACACATTTTCATAATTCATATGGGCTTTTCTTGGTGTCTTCATCATGGACAATGCGGTGACACGAGATTATTGGTGTTTAGAAAAATGACATGTTAAACGATCTAATCGGAAAGTTTTTCGGGTGTCAAAAACAACAGAAACAGTTGACAAAAATGCCCATGTCGTAATTTTTCAACAACGACACATGACATACGATCACATATCAAAAATAATCACCTACGATGACGATGTTCACGCACATTCTGAGAGTGGCACAATCGGATTCTACCTAACGGCTCGTGCTCTCACCCTCTCTCTCTAAAGCGCGCGCGTCTTTGTGCTTTGACGCATTTCATTGTTTGACGAAACAAAACATCACACAAATTGAAAGTGAAAGGCCAAAAATGCTCAATACAACACTGAAAAAGAAAACTGAAACAAATAAACGCAGAAGAATGCTGAGCTGCTATTTTTAACAAAATGGTTTGTGTACGTTATTTTGGCTTGGGTTCCGTACAACGTACAACGGAAGAAAATTTATTTCGCACGTAAGCAAGCACATTGATACATTTCCATAATTCATCCAACTAAGAGAAAGACAGTGATATAGAAAGAAAATTATCATTTTTCTTTCATTCGCTTGGAATTGAGATAAAATTCGAATGTTTTTTTTTCTGTAACAATATATAGAGACTCATAAATTATATGATATTTTTGCTACATATATCAACTTTTTTATATTAATAATTTGAACGAAATAAACAAACTCATTAATTGCAACCATTTTTCCATGCCCATTTTCTAATTGGTTACGAACTTTGCTCCCGTTTGTTGGGATTAAAACTAGCCACCGGATATGGGATGGCACATAAATTTTCAAGAAGATCATTCAGCCAAGATTAATTTAGATTTCGATTATTTTTCAACCGATGTGACACGTTTTCGTTTTCATGGTGGCCAAATTTGCATACAACTAATTCAAATTTAACAAACTGATGGCGTAACTATTTTTTGGTCTTCGATTTAGAATGAAAGTTGTTGATTATGGATAAATCAGGGTAAAATAAGTTGTTATTCGACCATAGAAAATACCTTCGCATTTGAGTCCTTGCCGGAAAATTCCATACAACAATGAACCACAATGAAAACAAAATGTTGGCGACATAAATGTATGCACTCGAAATCGATGCGGCAAATCAATTTTAAATCGCTCTCTCAGATACTGGTAAAAGGGGAAAATCGATTAATTTCGTCAATCAAATACATAAAAACGAAAAAAAAAACGGCTTTTCACTTACAATTGTGCTTTCTGAGTTGAAACCAGATTCAGAGCATGTGCCCAACAATTTCTCATGGCACTTTTTATGAACAGCTGTCTGACATGCTGAAATTGATTAGAATTTTTAGAACAAATTTGTTAATTTTCACAATTTTTCATAGAATTTTATTGAAGATGCTTGACATTTGTATTGATTGGAAATTTCGTTGTTTGACAAACTTGAGCTTTGAATAGCAGTGAGAACAAAAGTAAATTGAAGCTAGATTTTTGAAAAATCAATGAAATTAGACAGAAATTCGGAAATCAAGTCCAAATAAAATGTCATTGCATCAAGAATAGACCCATTTCATATTTTTCATTTGTTTCCCGGTGGAATGAATTCTCTTTGGAGCACTCAACTAAGATCAAGCGCATGACGATCGCACATTTTGATGGAAAAATCCAAAAAAACTCACTATTGCATTGATATCCCTGTTTTCCAAATCCCCATAGGAACTCTTTGCAAAAGGCGCAAAAAGTTGGCTGTCGAAAAAATTTCGCCACAAATTTGTGTCCATTGATGTCATGTGTTCTGCAAAGAAAAGGAATACGAATGAATAAAAAAAAAAACTAAAATCTATCTAACATATATGAAACACAATATACTTCTGATATTTAACGGCGCCACGTCGGTTGGTGATACTTTTGATTCGAGTATTTGTGAATTGAACTAGGGCTGAGCTGCTGCCACCAAGATCCGATATGCTGCTTCGGTATTTCATCGTCGAGGCAATGCTATCTCTGTAATTCGAACTGGTGCCGGCGGCGCCAACATCATCGTTGGATCGTGGAGCGCCTCCGCCGTGCCTTAAATATGAGGGTAAAGTAGAGTTAGTGTTGTTGCTGATGTTGTTGTTGTTGATATTCTGGACGGTTTTCCGTGGTAAGGACGCTGAATTATAAGTGTCGTTCGAAGGATTCTTATTTCGATTCTGAGCATTTGGTTTGTTTGTCTTTGACTGGTATTCGAAAAATATGGGGGAAATAAACAAAATTCAAAACACAAAAATAAAAGTGAATTATTTTTTTATTCACCAGAAAAAATTGAAACCGAAAAAACATCATACCTCTGGATATCGTTCACGTTTCCTCACGCCATTGTTGCTGTTCTGTGTGATGCCCGTTTTCTTTAAGCCAGAAAACATCATCTTTGAACCGGTCTGAATGGACGAGCTTTTTGTTCGTCTCTCTCTCGATTTCGTTGCTAAATGTCGATTTGCACGTTTTCACTCATTCAAAATATGAGTTTTTCGCTATTTTATTTTGTTCAGTCGAACTACTGTTTATCACGTTGACATTTTATTGTTTAAGTGTCATCACTTGAAAATTTATCTCCAAATTTAATTTATGTATGCAAATTATTTCATCTTTTGTTTTTTTTTCTGTCGTCGAACCGAGATCATTATGTGTGAAGGGTATCAGGCACAGTCTTCATAAAAACTAGAAACAACACAAGGGACCCAAAAAATGTTGCGACTTCGTTCAGGTGATCGTGTTTTACATCAGTATAATCATCATATCGAAGGCATGACCAACGTCGACACTTTCATTAATGCAATCATCCAATAATTTACACTCTAAATTCAATTTCATTTCTCAAATCGAAACTTTTGTTCAGAGACGAAGGCGAAATTTTCAAATTCACTACTCTTGTTGCTGTCTGTGCAATGTGTTGAACATAAACAATTTTTTCTACATATTCAAATCGGTTTCCTTTTTTCTGCAGCAACAATAACAAGAGGAGGAAAAAAACGGTGTATATATGTAATATCCTGGCGATTGTTTATTTGCTCTCTTCATGGGCTCGACTCGATTAATTCGCTGCTTGTTTGCTAGTCATGTTTCGCTACTATGTAGTTGCTTCGCTTTTCTTTTATTTGCTTGTTGTTGTCTGTGTAGTAAAAGAAATGAAGAAAAAAAAACAAATCAGAGGAAATAGCAAAAGAGCCACATTGATTGAGAGGCGTCTAAGTGAATATAAACTGAATTTTATAAAGTCCTTTAACGCGCCCAGTTGAGGCGTTGAATTATCGTTGAAAAATTTCATTTTTGTGTTCATTGCTTCATTGCTGTTGCGTTTGATTGTATGTGATCCGATTTGTGAGAGTGGCGTTGGGAATTTGTTTTTATTCATTCGTTTGTTGGCTTTGATTCAGATACTCAAATGTAACGGTCGCTCAGATGTCTTGATTTCTTCTTTTTTCCTTCTTTCAAGACAGTTTCAATATTCGATATCATAATTTTGGTATCGAATTTTTAGAAAAGAGTAAGCACCAAACACATCTTTCAGTAGACCGTACACGCAGTCCCTTCAAATAGGAATTTTATTGAGAAAATACAACAGTTTTTAATGACATCGGATAGTGTTTCAATGGTTGTATAAATTGGAAATTGAACATGCATATTTCGACCGAAACAAAGGAAATTGTTTCCATACGTTGACAGATGATCACATATTTATAGTTTCAGTTATGAGCAACAGTACAGTAATCATTGAAACATGCTCATTGAGACTACAAAACAATGGAATACAAAGGAACTTGTCTAATATCGAAACTGCACTTTGTACTTTACAGACAATCTACGATAATATACAGATGGTTGAATGTGGTTATTAAAAGCACATTTCGTATATTCAAAAATAGTTTCATTTATTACACTTTCCAATCGCCCAAAGACTTTGCCTCTTTCCAAATCAATAACCATGCGCATGTTCGATCGTTAGATGGCTTCAGTTTGTTATTTCATTTAATAAATTGTTTAAAGACAGTTGCAACTTCCAAATAGATTCCAATGAACGCATTTATTTTGATCAAAATGTTGCGTTCTCTTCTGCTCGGCTTTTTCGCCATGTCTTCAGTTTTAGGGTTGGCTCAATTCAAAAATATGAAGAAAAAAAAATTGGAAAAAATGTCTTCAACTTCAATTAAATTCGCATTGAAATTTGATTTGCCTCACTTGAAGGTAACTATTCTTGACTCCTCTTGGAAACGAAAAATTCTGAACGAAAGTATAATTCATCGTGAGACTCTTGTGGCAACTTAAAAAGGTCTTTAAACATAATGGACTGCTGCTCACAACATCGTATGATGGAAAAATAGACACTTTCAGCACCGATATATTACGTAATGCGACAGAGAAAGTTGATTTTAGGCATATCTGTGTCTACAATTACGATCCGCTTGATCATCCATAGAATAATTGTCAATCACATGCGTCCATCATAGCTGAACATCTTTTATATTTGGCAACTTCGGAAATTGGAAAGCAAACAATGGCTAGTTTTTCAAATTAAAGTCACTGTGGTAATGTGTCCTTTTATAACCCAATGAGGAAAACGTTACAGTTGTAAACATTTCGTACACGGCCAATGTAATTTCTCCATAAGCTGTGCACAAAATTTGTACAACTGTAACGTTTTCCTCATTGGGCAGTCAGAATACTAGTCTTAATGGTTTTACTGTCAATTAAATACGGATGACTACTCTGGTAAATGTAATTATCAAGAACATCCACACCTATTAACTATTTTGATGAAACAAACTCACCACTACAAGTGCCAAGCAATCCAACCTTTCCACTCCTTAGAACTATACATAATGCCATTGATACTTATTTCAAACTAAAGCCAATATTCCTAGGGGAATATCACGCTCCTGAATCTTGTGAGATATTTGAGATATTTGAAATAAACATCAATTGTATGACATATTTTCGAATATTTCGAATAAATAAATCAGATTTTTGTGGATTTTGGAGATATTTGAGATTTTTTGCATTAAATCCAAGTAAATACATTTAAATATCATTCAAATTCACAAAAATCCACAATATTCCGCCGTATTCACAAATATCCACCATATTTCATACGATAGATTCTTAGAGATAAATTGGATTCTTTTGAAATATTTGAAATAATTTAAGCGTGATATTCCCCTAGCAATATTCTATTTCTGGTAATTTGCTTGCAATTTTACGAGCGCTATAACGAGCTGTCAAAATATTGCGCACTCTTTCAATTTTTACGAATTTTGGAATCCACTGTTGATTTAATATCAAAAGCAATCTCTCTGTTTCAATGAGCATTTCAGTACAGACACATTAATTTACACAGAATCATACATGAGAATTGTATTAATTAACCCATTGACGCCCAACGTAGGACGCAAAAATTGCCGACTTATTTTACATTTTCTTCTATTCTGATCAAACGGCTTGGAATTTTCATATGCCGATTTGTATGTGTGTTAGGAAAGGTTTGATGAAAATTCTGAAACTTTGGGAAAATCATATTTGGACTCTCAGAAGTATCTCGTCAAAATTTCATTTCAAAATTCGAACAAAAATTTGGCTTTGGCGTTAATGAGTTAAAATAGAAAAAAAATATGCGATTTTATCTCTCTCTTTTCAATGTCATGATTGTATTTTTGCTTCATGATTCTTGTGATGTTGTTGTTTATGCGCGAGTTATTAAGAATGATGAAACGCCACAACGAATCTGTGCTATGATGAATGATTTTTATGAACATTTAAACGCTCAAATAGATGGATCCAGCAAAAGCAAAATCAACCAAAAAAAAATTCATCGTCAAAACCGATGACGATGATGTCGAGAGCATTTTGGAGTTGTTGGTGCTGATATCAAACTTTAGGTTAACTAATGAAGAGCCCACACAAAAACCGACAAAAACCAATTGACCAATGATAATTGATTGAAGGGTATGGCCAAACGTAAAATCGAAATTACATTAGAATTGGAACGAATGAAAAAAAGGAATTTGGTCTAAAAATAAAAGAATTTTGGCAGAAAATCAGTCCGTGTTCCGAATGAATGCATCGCTTGACTATTATCATTGCGGATCATCTGGCTTGATCAAATTGAAGCCGACTCATGCGGAAATGCACACTGACAATCGACATTTCATTCATATAGAATTGATTTGTTGTTGCCACAAAGCCAAAAATTTCCTCGAAATTTCAATTCACAGTCGCTGCTCAAATGCAATTTAATATTATGTTATTTATTTCGTTTCATTCAATTCAAGATCAGACACTCTCCCGAATGCAATTAAGCTTGTAAGCACTTCAACGATGAACACATAAACAAATCCATGCACTTGGATTTATGGCTGTTCATTCAACGATATAATATTCTTTGAAATGAGTTCCTTTGATCAAACCGATCGAAATATCAAAAAAAAAATATTGCCCTAAATTTCTTGATCATTACACGATATTGGATTTCATTTTGAATATTTTCATAAATATAATTTGAATGAAAAAAAAAGAACATTCCAAGGATCTGGGATTGTATTTGGGCGTAAAATGGTGCAAGGTGCCTCTTTGTATAACTTACGTGTCAATGAACGTGTGTTTATTGATTGTTTTCGCGAGATATTTCCAAGACGAACAAATTCAGTTAATGGCTAACGGTGAGTTATGTGCTAACGACACATCCGATGACACACTCATTACGATTAATTCACTGCCCACCACACGAGATAGGCTGCGTTTCACTCGAGCAAACGGGCGAGCGAGCGCGTGTGTACTATTTGTATTGATGGTGATTGGTTGATTGCGTTGTGGCGGCCAGCCGGATCATATGGAATATACAACAACGACAACAACAACATGTGACATTGTTTTCTTGAGATCATTATATCCGCGAAAAAACAAATCTACAGGATTCATTCTTACCTTATGCACGTTTAGTTTGTTTAATATATCGACAGATGGCGATTGTTACACACAGCCAAAACGTTTACACCATTGATTCTATTCCAAATGTGTACATTGAATTTGCTTGCAAATATGTTACAACTACTAATCCACTTTCTTCTCCTCCACCTGATGCTGAATTGTTCGTTTTGTTTTTGGTTGCAGTGACGACTCGGAGTAAATGTATACACAGTATGCAATAATGGCCAGCAAACACACAGCATCCAAAAATCAAACTGAATCAATGAACATTACAAAAACACCCAAATAAATAACATGAAAACCTCTTGAATCGTAAGAGAGTCCTTGGAAAATTGATGCTCGCATTTTGTACGGCGCATTTCAATGAATTTTGGGGGAAAAACCCTGCTCCCAAACACCAAGAACAAATCCAATGAAATTCCTTCGAAAACGCCTCGCTCTCTCTCTCTCTCTCCCTTTCTGATTTAATGCGTGTTGTCAATACACACTGTTTGTGCAATGGAACATCCGATTCTTTCGCATTTTTGAAGGCACTTCACTTTTATTGGACCTAACGACACAAGAAATAAATAAAAACAAAACTATCCACAACCAAACGGCACACAGCACACACAATTTATTGATCGTTCCACGCGATTATTAAATACCGATTGACAATGACCGAAAATACATAATTATTTTTCTCGACTCGAATTGTAAAATCACTGTCTCTCTCTCTTTCTCTTGTCTCCTTGATAGAATGGGCCGAAAAAAACGAGCAATTTTTTTTTTGTTCGCTGCTACTGCTACTGAATTCCGTATTATTGTTTTGCATGCGAAAGTGAGTGACAACAGGCGAGAGAGGATGAACAGAAGGAAAAAAAATAGACGTCACACGGCTGCAAAACAACAATAGACTCCTGACAACGACACCGACACCGAACACAAGCCGAAATATTTATATTTCGTGCATACAAAACTGTATTTTGTTTCTTCTTTTTCGTGCTGCTTCTCCCTTCGCTCAATATCTATTTCGACGGTGTTTCGATCGGTTTTCTCGCTCACCGCGCTGCGGCTGCTGTGTGCGCTGATACTAGCTTGAAAATATTTTCATTTCGGCGATTTTTCGTAGTACCGTGTTGTTGTTGTTTTTCCGTATTTTCTTTCTCGGGACGCGTTTTTTCGTTTCGACAACATACTCACACACACACACACAAAATCATCGCCTCACTTTTCGATGGTGTCTATTTCATTTGGTACCGAGCATACGATTCGGCGATGACGACTCACATTCAGAAAACCACATGAATCAATTTGTCGATGTGTGTAAACCGTAGTAAATGTGTGTGTGTGTGTGTGTGTGTGTGTGTGTGTGTGCACTATGCATAGACGCGCACATTCAATCACCATAAAAATAGCATGTTTATGTTGTGTAAGCATGTGAATGAGACGCAATCGCACGAGTTTTTCACGGATTGTGTGTGTTTTGATCTCGATGAACGAGTGAGTTTTCCATTCGAGTGCAAGAGATCACTGATTTTCTCTAGAGAGAGCGCACGCGCTTATATACACTCTCGTTCATTTCTCTTTCTCTCCATCTCGATCCAGAGCCTTCCGTGTATTCTGCATATATTCGGCTATACAATTTGCACATCATATACGTATAAGCTACGAAACGATCACAATAAATTCCTTTTCTATTTGTTTGAAACATTTCTTTTTCGCGGCATTGTGTGTACCATACGAAACCAGCGCTGAGCTCAAACACGTTACGAACGAAAGAAGGCTGATTGATTGTCAGTGGAAATGCATCCAGAGAGAGATATTTCTCATCATCGGGCCGAAAATTTCGGGGGATATTTCAATTTTATTGACGTTTTCGTTTTATTTTTGTGGATTTACAGCCAAGTGCAGCCATGCGATGATGCTGATTGTGACTTCAATGCGATCATTAATCTCATGATCATTTACGAGCACTTGTGTCTTGTGTGTGTGTGTGCATACGGCGCAACAAGCTCGATATTATTCGTTCACTGCTAGTACTATTCGGTTATAGTCGTAAAAATCGTAATAAATACACTATCAAAGAAAAAAAAACTTGATATTTCAGAATGCGAGTCAACACATAGACGTTGTTTTCGAATATTACGTTTGTTATGAGTTATGCTGCATTCAAATGTCAGAATGTGGAGAATCTGAGCTCTGGTCGATTTACAAGAAATAGGTGAAGAATCGTGAATCGTTTTGGAATTAAGAGAAGAAAAAAAACCAGCAACAATCGAATAGTTTACAAGATGCTTATGATATGAGCTAGAGCTATGAATCATATGCCCGATAATGAGGCTATGAGAAACGATTTTTTAAGCCTACTGCAACGAAAATTATAATTTTTTTTCAATCAAGGTTGACTATTGAACAATCGAATGGCCAAAAGTTTCAAATGAAACGCCGACGGAGTAATAAAATGTAAATTAGACCATTTGTCGCAAAGATGTCGTACGGCTGGCTGTGTATGAATATACATCCGACATCGCTGGCACTGATTTTATTGAAATTAAGAGACAAAACAGCGATTAGTGCTAATCAAGAGCATATAATTAAAATTCATGATTGACTTGTCGGCCAAATGATTTGTTGTGTGTACAATGTACACTTTCAAATGAACGTTGAACTGATCGATTAAAACTATCGCTATTCTGGACAAATGAATGTCTTAGCATGAACTTGGAATATGTATGGCGATGCAAAGCATCCCGAATCGTTTATAACAACAATGATGCAGCCTTTCCGATCATGAAAATAGTAAACAATGCAGCGGAACCTGGGGATTAAGTGCAACGTGTCATACTTTCAACGTTTGAATTACACAGACGCACTTACACAGACGCAAACTTGTTACAGCAAACTATGTGCATGATTCTCACACCAGGTGACACTTTATTGTTCTTGATTGACGTTTCCTATCTATTTGTACAGACGATCAGAGAGGCTGCAATGATGAAGCTTCGATGAAGACGGTTTCAAATGGAATAAAAACGTAAATTATATACAATTATCTCCATCATATGTATTTATATATTAAAAAAAATTTGTGGATTTTGCGCGGAGGTATCTGGAAAACACGTTTGTGAATGTTCTAAAAATAATGTTGACTTTTTAACAGACAGATGATAAGATTTCAGATGATTTGTGGTGACGTCACAGAGAATTAAGTGGAAAGAGAAATATCGATCAAATGAATTAGCCTACTCGACTCTGTCTAGTGTGCGAGAAAAAAAGGCCAATTTTATGTGTTCGACGCGTCGAAAGAAATTATAAGTCAAGTGAATGGCAAATTTTGCGCGGAAGGCAAGCAAACAAACAAAATTCAAATTGAAATAAGAAAAATGTTGAGGAGCCGTGTCGGCCAGACACAAAATATTGCCGTAGGTTCGAGCTCAATGAAGTGAGACCAATTTGAAAGTGACTGAGTCAATTAAATGGCTCGGGAATTAATTCCGTTTTTACAGTTGGACCAGTCAGTCGCCAGGCATCTGCCCCCTTTCTCCCACTGTCGACCTATTTGCACCGGCGACAACCTTTCTCGACGGCATCACAATGCAGAGGACGTAAACACAGAATGGAAAAAAAATCCCTGTATACACGATTCGAATTCATTGCGTCACGCATATTGTGGTTGTGGTTGTTGCTGTTGCAACTTCTGCTGTTTACTGTCAAACCGCGCCGTTCATCAATGGGTTTCCCAATGGTTTCATTTCACCAGAATCAGTTGACACTTTGGCAAGCAGCGTCTTAAACGCATCTGTTTTGATTTGCGAAGACCACTTATCTTCTTTATTCATTAAGTTGAGTGTTTATTTCTCTATTTTTGTGGTTTTTCAATTGACGGCGTCTAGTGTATAGCTAGAGTACACAGCTGTGCGATCGACCGAAGCACGCTACGGCAGCAACAGCATTCATCGATAACAACAACAAAATCAGCGATGCTTTCGCATATTCTGCGCCAGCTTAACATTGGGTTTTTTTTTATTTACATATTTTGAATAATAACGATCGATAATCACGAAAACCCAAGAAGAAGAAATATACATCGATCCGATGTACTCATTCCCCTCAGTGTGGTGGCATTGCTCAGGTTCACAATACTATAATTCTTGCCTGACAACTTTTGGTTTAATAAAATGTTATTTTTCTTTTCGTTTCGTTTCGTTTTGTGCTGAATGTAATTCACTATCGTATCGCTCTATCACACAAACGCTATTAAACAGCTGGCTGTGAGAGCATTAGCAAATGTGCCATACAGCAGCAGCAGCAGCAACCAGCAACATCGCCTACCATATACACGATCACTTCACGTGCGCGCGGTGTTCAAAAGACATGATTTGTTTGTTCATATCTTCACCTTATTTGTGCTAGGCATTTAAGTTATCCATGTGCTGGACTTTAGTTTTAATTTGTCGCTTGACCAGCTAAGCTCATAAAATCGCGTGTGTGATCAGTAGCAGCAGCTAACAACAGAAAAGAATATTTTTTTTATTTTGTTTACGGAATCCTACTCGTTCACTTTATCACAATTGGCCAAATCGCTTTGGTTTTTCCGTCGAAAAAGGCACACAAAAAGAAAAAAGATTTCAAATAGGTAAATCACACGACCAATTAACCATATACGTATTTTTTAAACAACTTTATTCCGCTAAAAAAATGTTAACAACTCCAGTTATTTAAAAATGAGTTAATTTGTTTGTAATGAGGCAATTGAATTGGAACGCTTTCCGCTATATATCATAAGACATTGTGTAAATGTCTCTGTCGCAAACACTGAGAGATCAATATCAAGGTTCAGTGTCAATTGTATAATAATTTTTTTTTCGTTTTGTTTTGTTTCAATTTGAAACTGGTTCACTCAAGTATCATACTTTGTCATGGAGAAAAGAGTGATATCAAATGATTGTAATGAAGGTCAATGTCCAAAGCATTTCGGAAATGTGAATCACCATTTTTTTTACTATTTTAAGACATAATCATATATAAATTGGCCAATTTGCGAGACATTAAATGCTTTTTTAAGACATAACAAACATGTTTTATGAACAAGCTGTTGCAGATTTGGGTGGTCGATTTTGGAGGATAACAAAACCATATAGCCAACACAGAAATACTATGCCGAGTCAGTCCGCAGTTTCCCTCAGTTTGAGACAATCATATAAAGATTAGGTGATAACGCACTTTTTTCCCCTTTAGTACACTGTGATTCAGTTAAACGAACAGAACAATTCAAAATCACGACGCGTTAGACTCGATTAGATCGCGGGAAAGAGAGGAAAATCCATTAAAGTCGTGCTGAAAAAAAAACGTCTCTTTTGCCTAATGTAATTACAATGTTGTGCATAATTTACCATCATTGTATGCGCATGCATTGCACTCTCGCAACAACAAGTGAATTAATTCGACAGTCTGACATTAATGAATTGTTTCGAACAAAACACACAGAACTGCCTCGGTGTTTCTTCATTGTGTACAGCATTTTGCGGGCAGTTAACTGTTTACTGTGTTTGAAGTGTTCGAAGTGTTTGACAAGGATTTACAATGTATAGAAGAAAAAAAACAGCCCAAGAATTTATCATAGAACCACACATATGTGTCGACCGTAGCAAATATGCGACAGATGATTCAACAGCATAAATTCGATGCGGAATCGACAAAGTGCATTTGAATAATATATACAAATACATTTTGTTACTTTCCTCACTTGAGACGGTTGTTTGTCACATATTTGATGTACGAACGACCAATTTTCCAATTTTCAACAAATGCGATATTCATTGAAATAATTGCAATCATTGCTGAATGTGGATATCCAAGTTATACAAATTAACAACAAACAATGCAATGTATCGATACAATTAGCGCATGTACAATTTTTAATGCATCATTGCGTGTTACCTGAAACAAACCATTTGTTCTAATTGACAGTGTACGTGTTAATTCATCGCTAAATTCAACCTATGAAGTGAGAGAAAATAAAAGACCGCTTATATTTTCGGATAATTTCGGAGGTTCCATAACGACATTTCAATCCGTATTATTTTGAAAAAAATCAAAGTTTCCGATTTTCGTTGCAAAACGCTTGCATTTCCAACTTTTGCCTTTCAAATGTGAGTTTCACAAACAGCTAAAACTCTAAATCTCATGCTTTGGACGAAAATCTCCTCATTTTTCCGCGATATCATCAATAAAAGCCTTCAGGTTTCCAGAAAGCCTAACAAAATATGAACACGAAACGGCACTTTGCACAAACCAATGGACCGAATGTTGACGTCAATGTGTATGGAGTATATTCGAAGCGAGTCATGAATTACAATTTTAAATAGAGTGTTCTGTCCCTCTCCCTCTTTCTCTCGTTCACTCGCTTTTTAGACATTAAAGGTGTTGCGGTGAAGTGCTATGCAAATATCATTCACTTTCGATGAACACTTGATGCACTTACAACGTAATTAACCTATCATCACCCGTGCACTGCAATGCATATAGTCCGTGCATAAAACAAATAATTCATCGGGAGAATGATTCACGATTCTTTTTTTTTCTCTCTACTTCGGTTGCGATTGCAAGATTTATATTATTTATAAATCAGTTCATGAATAAGTAGGAATGAAAAAAAAAAAGAAACAATGCACGTTTTCTATTTGAATAAAGAGCGAAATAATAATAAAAAAAAATAGTATCAGCCTTGAAGACAAAAATCCCCCATTTCAACACATTTTATGTCAATTTAGAAAAAGAACCAAATGCGTAGAATGAAATGACAGAAAAAAAATCACTTAATGCAAATGTAAAAAGTCCACTGCACGTGAAGTGGCCACTCACCGTACGCCGACAAAGTAGAGAGGAGACAGATTTCGAGAGGAAAAATAAAATAACGCAAACACTTTGTCGACGCAATTTCGAAAAAAATTCATTTGACACACACACACACACACACACACACATACACACAGATCAGCATATATAGTATACGAGAGTTGATTTTGAGAGCGCGAGCTGAAGTGAGCGCGCGCGCAATTACTCTAGCCTTGATTTCCAACATTGGTGTTAATTTTATTGTTGCTGTTTTTATTTTTTCGACCAAAGACCAGAACGTTTAGCTCGTCACAATCGCATTACAGTCACTCGCATCAATTGGTCGGCCCATGGCAGAAAATATAAAACTGTTTAATGTGATTATATTTGCTGATGCAGTATGCAAACTCCACGACCAAATCCACCTTTTTTTCGTTCAAAAAGGAGAAGAAGAAGAAAAAATCGAAACAACGCATGTTGTGTATTTTTGTATTTTTGTTCACGTGAGCATTGTCGAACAACACAAATCCCCCGTTTAATAATGATATCTCGTCATTATTGATTGTTATTCAATCAGTTTATGGGTGGATAATGTATAATTTAAAATGGAATCCATGAATGCTTTTAGCATTCTGTGCCATTTGGATTGTTTTCCCCTCATACGTAGAATTTGTCTCTCTAGAAAAGCGTTGAAATGCTGCGCATAAGCCCGAATTAAATGCCAACTGTCGATTAATTAGCGCATCGATTTGTTTAAAACCGAATATCACTAGAAAATACATAAAGCGATCGCATCCAACCTGCACCAACCAAATTATTAATACAATAGTTAATAATGGCTAGTGACCGAATCATGATAATTGCATTCGATTACAATCATTAAGCCGACATTCTAGTAGAAAAAAAATACTAATCCGAACATAATGTTTGTCGTTGTTTTTCAACTTGTAGCTTGATGATTTGCTGATTGATTGAACGGTTGAGTGAACGAGTGAAAAAGCCAGCAGCAGCAGCCAAAACACAAACGAGTTTATGCAATAGAAGAGGGAGGATAGAGCACAATAGCAACACTAAAAAAAACCTTCTCATTCTCTATCGCATTACAAAATTGGACGCAAGCGACGAAATGGTGCACAATGAGGACGACACAAAAAAACAACAACAAACCGGCCTGCTTATTGAGCGTGAATTGTTTCTCGATAAAGCCGGCAAATATGAAAATCTTCGCATCGCCAAAAATGTGATTGTGATTGGTGTGGCATTTATGCTGCAATTCACCGCATTCCATGGCACAGCCAATTTACAGAGCTCCATCAATACAGATGGTTCGATCGGAACTTATACCCTAGCTGCAATCTATGGTTCATTGATCTTGTCCAATATATTTTTGCCCGTCATTGTAATCAGGTAGACGATTTCTCTCTCTCAGCCTCTCTCAATCGTGATCTTTCTCTTGTAAAGCGCCCTCATACTCCCGTTCGATTCGAGATTTTCGATTGATTGTTTGATCACCTGAAATATTGTATTCGGTTTTTTCTCTCTCTCTCTCTTTCATTTCATTGCAGAACATTTGGCACGAAATGGACGATGGCTCTATCGTTTATCGCTTATATGCCGTTTATAGTGTCACAACTTTATCCGCGGATGTATACAATGATTCCATCCGGATTAGCTGTTGGCTTTGGCGGAGGGCCGTTGTGGTGTGCAAAATGTACCTACCTCACAGTTATAGCTGAAGCATTGGCCATTTTCAATGGAAAAAATAGATCCGATGCGCTGGTCGTTCGATTCTTTGGATTATTTTTTATATTTTATCAATTGGCTCAAGTATGGGGCAATTTAATATCATCATCAGGTAACAAAAAAAAAATACTATTCACTTTAGTCACATCATCCGATTTTCATGATAATCATTTCAATCCGTTTTTAAATTAAAATAACAAAAGAGATTTTCATTTTTTTGTTTTTCAATAATTTTGTTTATCATTTTAATTTTTTTCTACGTTTTTTTTTCGTTGCCGTATATTTAAAGTGTTGTCATATGGTGAAACTGTAGTGGAATATGCCAACGCTTCGGTTGAAGCAATAAAACTGGAAGAGCTCAGTGAGAATGTCGCAAAACTGTGCGGTGCTGAATTTTGCCCGGGCGTTACCGCTGCATTGAATCCAAATTTGGCCCCACCCGACTCGTCCAAAATTCAAATGTTAATGATAATATTCCTCGCCATGATGATTGCAGCGAGTGTTCTAATCGCTGTTGCTGTCGATGGACTCAAGCGCTACGAAATGGGCCGCAAGGGTTCAGGATCAGAGCTGTCCGGCATTCAATTATTATCTGTAACCGTGAAACAATTGATGCAAGTCAAGCAGATTTTATTGCTACCAATCACAATGTTCATTGGGGCCGAACAGGCATTTATTGCCGTCGATTTTACATCGGTATGTCTGACACTTCATCAATTCATCCTCTGTTGCTTCATATTTTTTTCTGTGCATTTGATTTTCTTGAAATCCTCTCTCTCTCTCTCTGTCTCTCTCAATCTCCCGTCTCCCACCCAGTTCCATGAAAATTCATTTATCGCATAAGTGATTCATGCATAATATTTGATTGATTCGTTCACCTTTCAGGCATTTATCGCTTGCGGTTGGGGCATTCCACGTATTGGATATGTGATGATTTGCTTTGGATTAGCAAATACGATTGCGGCAGCGTTGGCAAGTGCTATTGCAAAATATGTGGGTCGTAATAAGATTTTGACGTTGACACTCGTTCTGCACGGCACACTGTTGATGTGGATGCGCCAATGGGTTGCCGTTCCGAATGATTTTGTCGCATACTGTTCCATGGCCGCTATATGGGGGTTGCTGGATGGAACATGGTTGGTGATTATTAATTGTAAGTAGACGCATAGCTTTTTCTTCGTTCAGATATTCGATGTTCATGGGACAGAATTCAATTTTTGGGTTTCATGAGACAAAATTCAATTTTCACTATATATATACATATACATGTTGTATCATCCAACTTAGCTTACTATGGCATTTTATTCAATGGCAATGAAGAGGCTGCATTCAGCAATTTCCGTCTATTTGAATCATGCGGCTCAGTTATAACGTACATGTTGAGTCCAATGCTGTGTGCATCCACAAAAATCGAAGCAATATTCGCACTTATGCTGATTGGCATCATAGGGTGGGTATCATTTTACATTCCTGTCTTTTTCGATTTTTTTTTTTTTGTCTCGTTCGAGTGAAATCTCATAAATTCAACCACACATTTCTAACATATTTTTCCCATATACTTGTCTCTGTTGCAGCTATGCCATCGTCGAGTACAATCGAAATGCTGAATGCGAAAACCATGCCAAAAACTCTTCAACACCGTACAAACAAGCCAATGATGATACACGAATCTAACATCTCTATTTTTGAACCATTTCAATTTACTTTTATACATTCCATATTCGGAGGCATTCCACTCATTTATTACCAAAAATGTAATCATGATGAAGAAGAAGGAGACGACGAAAATTCCAACTCAAATTCACAATTTCCATGAATGTTTTCGTTTTATTTATAAGTGGTAAATAAACATGTTTTTTTTAATTTGGGCAGAAAAAAATGATTGGTCTTAATTGTTGTGGCGAAAATGCATTCGGAAGTGATACGATACAGAAATGCACTTTACCTTCAAAGCGTACAAGTGTAACTGACAAATAACAATTATACTCAACAAATCTGGGCAATTCAGTTTAATTGCGCTGTGCTCAGTTTTGGTTTTCAACCAACCACTTAACTAATTTGGCTGCTTTGGAAGTCTCTCACTTTTGGACGATTTTTAAATTCAATATCCAAAACTACGTATGTCGAATTTGTAGTAGTTTTGATTTTTGTATTAGCTAGAATATCAAGTTACATTTTTGGAAATCACATAGCTCAATTTGGAATAGATGACATGGTGATCTGATTTACAACGTCAACGAGATGTGTAGGATTTTCAAGATAATCAAAAGAAAAGTTACTATATGGTTCAGAACAAAATGCGAACAGGTCGTCGCTTCACCGGAAAGAAACGGTTAACTTGTATTTAATTAGCGGCAATGAAAGTAAATAACTTGCTTACCTGTGGGCATTGAACATTTCATAAGTAGTTTTGATGCAGGAATTCACAACGAAATTTTCCATAAATTAATTACTACGTTCAAATTCTTGGTTCGCAAACTTTGGACAGTAAAAATTCCGATTTATTCAGACAGATACTCGCGGTGAAACTTTCGAAAGATTTCACTCAATAGTTTTTTTTGTTAGAAGCAAAAAAATCAAAAGTTTCCACGGCAAAATGAACCAAAAGCTTTGGCGAAAATTAAGACAAGAACATTTTCAGGGTGAAATTGAAAAGAAATTGAACCAACTCCTTCGATAACTAACTGTAGGTAATTTTAATTTCTTTTATTATTGTTGACTTCAGTTGCTGTTTCTTTTTTTCTCTCTCTCCATTTCCATGAACATAATCAATTAGTCTGTCGAACTATTCGTTAATTACTAGCACTAGCACCGTTCTTTTTGGTGCCTCCCTATTGAATACATTTGTGTGTACAATTTATGTGGCGTTTTATGCCGGCAACTTGTGTCTCGTTCTAACTTTCTTGTTCTATGTTACTCTTCGCCTCTCTCTCTCTCTCTCTCTCTCCCTCTCTCTCTCTCTCTCTCTTTTTCTTTACATCTCGTTCACTTCGAGACATTTAAATTGAAATAAACGTTGTTTTTGATGCTTTTGTTGTTTATGTTGTTGATGTAAATTACAATTTGATGTAAAATGATAAATGATTTATGAAAATTAAATGTGACACCACAGTAATTGTGATTGTTGGTCAGTTCCTTTCTTAACGAGGGGACACTATTCGAAAATGATTAACATTAACACAATTGCATTTCTTATGAATAATTTCATTGTTTTTTCTATGCAATTTTTCCTAACAAAATGACTTTTTCAAATCGAGACAGATTGAGAGCGACGAAAAGATTGAAAATAAAAATGAAAAAATGTGAATGTGATTTATATATAGATATATATAAAAACAAATTAAACTGAATTTGAAGAAAAAAAAAACAATTCAAATAAAATGTAAATGTAAAAAAATTATAGAGTGTATATCTTAATTAATTAGAGTAGAATTTTTGTTTTAGTTGCACATGTGTTCTGTTGTTATTGTTTCTGTGAACAATTATAAATCTAACATGTTTATTTCATCATTATATTTATTTCTCTAAATAAGTGTTCATTAATTATTATCCATCATCTAAAAAAATTAAGATGTATTTATTTAAATGGCAACTATTTCTAATTTAGAAAAAAAAAGAAGAAGAAACAAAAACTCGTTAATATGTGATATCAACGATGGACGTGCACCGTGCACGCGCATTCGTGGCTCAATGCGAATTTTGTGTATTTTCACATGCGAATACACAGTTTAGGAAATTTTCGGTTGAGCCAAACAACAGTTTTCTTCTTTTTATTCTTCTGTGTGTAGTTAATTTTTTTTGTTTTGTTATTGATTCGTTGCTTTTCAGTCAGTTCTCATCATCAGGCACGGCAATTTTGATGATGTTGTTAATTTTTAAATTGTTTTGTATATATTTTGTTTTGTTTTTTATTTGTTTCAACTATACACAGACGATATACGGCTTGTGTAAAGACACAAGCATTAGAATACAATTTCTATTCGAAATTATTCGTCTACTCCCGGTTTTTCAACTTTATTATAAATTAAAATACGTTAAAATTCGAAAAACGGGTCTCAATCATATCAAAAAAAAAAAATCAATTTATGTTACTATGGGAAACGAATAATTGAATTCGTTCGAATGAAACTCGAACGTAAAATGTGTGTTCTTTCTCTTTAAAATATAAGGCAACGCAATATGATGGCGTTCTTGTGAGATTTTTCTTGTTCAATGTGTTTTTTTCCTTGGTGTTGGACGATTCGTGTGTCCGAAAGACGGTCAATTGATGAAAATGATGAGAACAAATATAATTTTTAACTATAAAAAAATGATCAAATGCAGTATTTTGATTTTGTTGTTGTTGTGGTGATGATGGTGTTTTCGAATGAATTATGACGATGTATGAACGATGAACGCCTTTCGTATGGTTCAATGCACTCTTGGCTATTGATAGAACCTCTCATTGCGGTTTGCAATTGTGAATCTCTCACACATAAATCTCGCCATCGTAACCAAATTTCACATCACTCGCCGATGCCGCCAATTTCTGTAGCGTTTTCTTGATACGTAGCGCCGCCAGGCGTACGTTTGCATTCTGGTGCCAACATTCGCGCATCAGTTTCGACATGCCAGCCAGTAACTGAAAAGGGATTGAATGAGATATATTGAAAAGTTGAAGTGTTTCAATGATTCACTTGAATGAGAATGAATGAAATTCAGTAGTTTCATTTGAAGAAACTAAAATTCGATTTTGCTCGAACGACAAAGAAAAAAAAAAACGGCCGATCACTTACGGTGTCTGAGCTCCATCGATTTGGTATCGATGGTCGGTAATTGTCTAATACAACAACTTTGCGCATATCCTCGAAACCGGGATCCGATGGCACGACGTCATAGTATGGCACTTTGTATTCCTCTGCAATGCCGCCTGAAATCGTTCGTCGACACACCTCCCACATAATTAAGGCAAATGAGTAAACATCAGCGCGTCGTAGCGACTCGAAATCATTCAGATTTATGCTATGAAAATTACATTTCGATTAGATTAAGACCAAATTGGACTACAGAGCAAAAAATGTGTGACTCTTCCTTCGATCTTTTCCTTACCTTTGATCAAGAATCTCAGGGCTCATGTAACGTTTTGTTCCGACACGAGGATTCGAGCCCACATCCAATGGGGCATTCGGTTTGTGCATCACGGCCAAACCAAAGTCGGCAATAACACACGTACCATTCTCACGTACAAGAATATTTTTCGATTTCAAATCACGATGAGCGATCGCTGGTTTACCTTCGGTGCCGAAAATCTCATTATGCAAATGAACCAATCCGTTTGCGATTGACAGGCAAATGATGGCCATATCGTGATGCGACAATGCCGATCGATGCAAATGATCATATAGCGAACCAAGTGGATAGTAATGTGTTAACACCCACAATTGTGTACTTGAATTGTGTGATGTCATATCGGAACCGATGTAACCGAGAATGTTTTCGTGGCGCAACAAAATGGTCGAATAAATCTCCGTTTCACGTTTCCATGATTCTTCATCACGGCTCGAAAAGATTTTGACGGCAACATGTTCACCATGCCAAATACCGCGCCACACACCACCATAACGACCTTTTCCAATGCAATTCAGAAGTGTCACTTGTTTCGATAGCGTTCGTTGGATTAATAACGGCAAACCACCGCCCGATCCAGATGTCATCGAGTGTTGCATGTACTCCTGCGGAGAAAAAGCACATTTTGATGAATAATTATGCTCAAAAATTTTCTTTCCCCAGGTGCATTCAATTCTGTTGGAAGAAATCACCGAAAAACTGAAATTTAAACATACCCTCAATGTGCTATCACCAGCACTGGTGACGCGAAGCAATTCATCGCCCGCATAGTATGTGTCTTGATCGTGTTTCGTGCGCGATGGCACCATTCGTTTGTGGTCCGTACGCCGTCGAATGTAAAGAACCACACAAACCACCATGACGATGGCAATCAGGGCACCGAGCATTGCAAATGTCAAAACGATATAATTGCGTGTCGAGCCAATTCGAGTAGCTTCGTGGTCGTCATTTGTTAACGGCGGCAATTCCGGAAAGCTGCCGTTGTTACAAAAATCACCGACGCAACATTCGATATTGTACTGGCCGGATGTATCTCGTTTCTTCGATCTCGATGATGATGAATGTGCATAATTATTGCAATAAAATGGCACATGATCATGATGCGTTGTGCAGCCACGTGAAACCGTTTCCACCCCGTATGCGTCACGCACACGTGATTTCCAGCACTAAAATGGCAGATAAAACATTTGATTACGTTGGGCATTTCAGTTGCTTTTTATTCTCTTTCGATTGGAAAAGATGTCATTAAAATTAACTCATTACCTGCAATGCATTAGTGCAGATGTTTGGTGCATCTTCTGACAAATTCTGGCACTCCGACGATTCACACACGTAGCATTTATACCTGAAAGTGTTGAATGTGTCCAATTAATAACAAACAACGGATTGATATACCAAAATTTAGGTACAAACAAAAAAAAAAAAAAAAAACCGGCAGTGGCACAAAACTTATGGAATCAACTCAAAAGAAAAACAAATGGCTGCGAAAAAAACAACGAAAACGTAAACTACATGGAACAGAAAAGAGAGCGTGCTTTGTTCTGATTCGGTATAAAGAAAATAAGGAAGCAAAATGTCGAAAAGTTCCGTGTCGAGAGTGTTTTCGGGTATACCAAAAAAAAAGAACTAAAGAAAAAACCAAATTTACATTTCAGTTTGTAGTCAATCAAAAGATGTTCCACGCAATGAGCACAGAAAGAAAAGAAAAACAATAAAAAAAAACCAAAACTAATTCAATGCAGTTAAATTGTCTCTCTGCTGGTGTGTGATGATATGCACAAACAAAACCAAACTCGAAATCAGAAATCATCGTGCATGTTCAAGTCAAATGGTCATCACAAGTGTGTGTGTGTGTGTGTTGTTTTTTCATTTTACCTTTTTTTCATTCGTCGCTTCGATTTTGAATGCCTCCTTTGGAATTATTTTAACATTGGTTTTTTGGGTTCACGTATTTTTTTTTCGGGGGGAGTATTGAATTGTTATTTTTTTGTTTCGTTCGTACGAGTCAAGAGAATGTGAGAGAAAATACAAATTACTGGGTCAATAATATGGTCGATATGGTTTATCTAGCGATCTTATTTTTTTTTCATACTAAATTCATCTAAAACCTTATAAAGATTCAAGTAATTCTATGGATTGTTCTGTTCATTTATCTATTTGGCAACGCTTTTAAACTGACTTTATCCACGGGCCAATCGCATTGTTTCCAAACCGTTCATCATTTAGAGAAATATCCATCTCAAATTCAAATTGCTTGAATTATCTTGGTGTTTACCTTTGTATTGACTGAATGGTGTTCAAGGGACGATGGTGTTGATTACGATTTAGCAGCAATTCCAAATCGGGCAACGATTTTTCACGTATCTCTGAGTGTGAATCGGTGTCGGCATTGTTTTCGTCTGATAATAATTGGTCACTGATCGCTGCATTCGTACCTGGTGTGTGGAAATAGATTTTGAGCTTTTCGTTAAATTATTAAAGAAAAAATGCAGATTTTTTTCTCGTTAAATAATGGAGTAAACAGCATGTGATGTCACATATTTGCGTCTACCGTTGTTGACATGATCATCAAGGAAACAGATACTTTTCTCACATTTCTCAAATAAATCGAACGTTTTGCATTCATTCATTCATAGAACAAAACACAATCTGTGTTTTTAATTAAATTCCATTCATTGCAAGCCGATTCAATTTTGGATGGATTGTTTCGATTTAAAAAAAAACAACAATAGCAACAATTGTGTTCAGCTCTTGAGCTCTGAGCTCAATTTTTATTTCAGATTTTGTCGAGAAAGAAAAATCAATCTACGACTCAAGTGGATATAAATCAGCAAAAGAAAAAAAAATCCGGAAAAAAACAACAAAATAATTCTGATATGGAAGTAAAAACGCACGGGATAAATGAGTGTGAATTTCGAAAAAAAATTATTTTCTTCTACGTTTTGATTCAATACAAATGAAAAGAGTACGCTGATCCATGTTTGTTTACGTTTGGCTAGCCGCAGTTCATTCGGAATGTGACGCGCATACAGGCAGAAGACAAACATATACACATGCACACACATAGTAGAAGAGCGCCGTAACCCACGAGAGAAGAGGAAAAAAAAATAAATGGGAATTCGGCGCGTTCTGTGTTATGCAAGTGCAATTTGTGCACTGCACACATTTGATGTATGTTTTTCTTTCGTCCTGCGATTAGTATTTGCGATGGCGATGTGTCGAAGGAAAAAAAATGATCAAAATTTTATGGCAATAATCAAATTACGCTTCAATTTAATGCACTTTTGATGCTTTACGAAAGAAAAAAAGAAACCATTCACTCATTTCGTACATGTGAAAATCCATTATTTTTTCAAAATGAAAAAAAGAACATTAAATACAGCGACATTTTCAGCGCAAATTTATGCATTCGTCGATTGCCTGCTAATTAAATAAAATGATACACGATAAACATGAAGTATGTACTCAATTCCGGATCGTATTCTCTTCTTGCTTCAATATCTCTCTAGAAATTTTAATTTTTTCTTTCTTTCTGTTTCAAAACGTCTAGACATCAGACTGGCTCCAATTGATATTTTGTCTACACAATGGTATTTATGCGATATGATTCGAAACGATCAACACACACATTAGTAAAACCGAAGAAGAGAAGAGAAGAAAAAAAAATAACACAACACACAACACTGAAATCTCACTCACTCTCTCACACTGAAAATTCACTTGCATTTCATCCATTTTTGTTCACTACACAAATCATTTTTTTTTTCTTCACGTTATTATTGGCCCAAAAAAATTGAAAATTCGCACGTACGAAAACACAATTTACCTTGACAAATTGATAAAAATAATATAAATATTATCGTCTTCGGGAACATGTTGGTCGCCATTGTTTTAGAAGTTATTTTTCTTTTTGACTTCATTCCACCTTCTTCTTATTCGTTTTGTTATTTCTTTGCTGCTGCTACTTTTTTTCGCTTATTCCATTCGATGCGATGACATTTGGTGTGCGTTGTTGAATATATGTATGCTATGTATGACCTGCGGATCACTTTTAAGTCTGTGATTTCACTACTCACTGGCGCCTAATGGCATACAACAGCAGCCTCAAATGAATTAAATAGACATACGAGCCGTACGTCTGTATGTGTGTATGTGTGTGTGTGTACACGCGCGCGTTCTCTCTTTCTAATACTGTCACAATCGTTGAAGAGAAACTGATCCGGTGCAAAATGGAACTGTCAAAATCGGCTACATTTTGCACGGGCACCACACACACACCACACACATTTGACACTTTCCCCAAATGCAAAGTATATTTTTGTACCGCACACACATTGTGATGTATATAAGTTTTGATATTGCATAAATTGTGTGTGGTGTGTGCGAGTCGATATTTAAGCCACTTGAATCGGTGTTTTGATTCAGGTGTTTTAGCTCTTTGTATAAAGAAAATGTACCATTTGAAACGAGTCCTAAGACCAATTCAACGATGCTGCTCACATGTAAATAAGGCACGAACCGTTACAACCTGGTCCCATTTGGCCAATCACTTCAATTCCAAGCCCGAAGACGACCGATGGTCCTTTTTAAAATGTGAACGGACTGTGAGTATCAATTGCAATTTGTAATTTTGCACTCGTCCAAATTCAGTCTAATTCTAATTCGATTCACCGAAACCTCTATCACCATCACTCCTGTCATGTGTCAAGGGTCTATTGGATTTTCCGGAATTAAAATCACATGATGGATTCTATTTGCTGCAAGAGAGTGTCACACAACGATGCGATCAACTCATTGACGAGATTATATCGCCGAAGCGTCAGCGCAAAATTGTTGAAGTGTTTGATGAATTGTCGGACACTTTGTGCAAAGTAGCCGATATGACGGAATTCGTTCGACTCGCCCATCCATCTTCAAAATTCAGCAATGCAGCCGAAGAAGCTTGCTTCAATATTTGTAAAATTGTTGAAAAGTACGTGACCAATGAACCATAAACACCATTTAGATACCCTTATCGCTTACAAAGCAATTTTTGTTCACATTTACAATCAAATTCATTTTTTTTTTTTAAAGAAAAGCAATGGCCTGAAAATTATTTTCGTTTTTTTTATATAGACTCAACACTCACAAAGAGCTGTACGAAACACTGAAGCGAGTCTCGGTGCATGGAGATGTGGTGCCATTGGATGAGCTCGATAAGCATGTTGTGAATCTTTTTTTGTTTGATTTCGAACAGAGCGGAATTCATCTCGATGAAGAAGCGCGTAAAAGTGTTGTATATTTGAATGATTGCGTGTTGCGGCTGGGACAACGATTTATGGCTGGTGCGCTTACACCGCGTACCGTTTCTGGCAATTCACTACCGGATAGTGTTAAAAAATAGTGAGTAAAATTCGTGATGTTTTTTTTTTGGTACAAAAATCTAAATTTGCACCAAACTTTTTCTCTTGACCATTCTTATTTTTGGTCATCTAGCTTTACAGGTGATGGTGACAATTACCTAGTTTCCAGTTTGTATGCCGACTCAGGCAATGCACTGGCACGAGAAATGGCATACCGATTGTACTTGTACCCGGATGAACGACAGCAATATCTGTTAACCGAACTGTTGAATCATCGACACGAATTGGCCACGGTGTGTGGCTTCCCAACGTATGCTCATCGGGCAGTCAATAAAAGCACAATTGATAGTCCCGAATTAGTGATGGACTTTTTGAGTGTGTTGACAGACAAATTGAGACCGTATGCCGAAGATGATTATCACACAATGACCAAAATGAAGCAATCCGAATTAGGTGGTAATAGTGTGTTGGGTGCATGGGATACGGCTTACTATACAGGCAAATATAAAAAAGATTTCCTCAAAGTGTCATCGTCCGAATTCGCGCCATATTTTAGCCTCGGAGCATGCATGGAAGGCTTGAACCATGTTGTGAAGGCATTGTATGGCGTTTACTTTGAATATGAACACATTCGCAATGGCGAATCGTGGGCAAATGACATTTATAAATTGGCTGTGAAACATGAAACGGAAGGATTTTTAGGTCACATCTACTGTGACTTTTATGATCGTCCGAAAAAACCTCATCAAGATTGCCATTTCACGCTGCGCGGCGGAAAGAGTCTTCCCGACGGGACGTATCAGGTAGAAAATGAGGAAAAAACACGATGCAAAATTCAAAACTGATCATTTTTTATAATCTTTCACATAAAATCCGACTTCATTACTCGAATTTTAGAAAAGTAAAATTGTTTTCATATTTCCAGAGCCCAATCGTTGTGGTAGCACTGAATTTGAATGCACCACGTTGGTCGGGGCCAACATTGCTCACACCACCAATGGTCGATAATCTATTCCATGAAATGGGCCATGCAATGCATGCGATGCTGGCTCGTACCAAATACCAACACATCTCTGGAACACGATGCAGCACCGATTTTGCCGAAGTCCCGTCCGTTTTAATGGAATACTTTGCCAGCGATCCACGTGTATTGCAAACATTCGCACGACACTTTCAAACACAAGAACCAATGCCCGAATCGTTGATGAATCGATTGTGTATATCGAAGCATTTGTTTTCCGCATCGGAAACGCAGGTGCAGGTATTTTATTCAGCACTGGATCAAGTGTACCATGGTGAGCCAAAAGTCAATGAGAATGTTACAACAACCGATATTTTGCGACAAGTTCATCAGCAATATCATAGTATACCTTATGTCGAGAATACGGTAAGTGCCATCGAACATGTAAACTACATCAAACTAAAAATCTATTTATTTCGAAATCTTCTTTTTCTCTCCTTTAAAACAAGGCCTGGCAACTGCGATTCTCTCATTTGGTCGGCTACGGTGCAAAATACTATGCATACTTGGTGTCACGGGCGATTGCCGCATCGATTTGGCGCAATTACTTTGAAAACGATCCATTCAGTCGAACGGAAGGTGAACGTTTTCGTCGCGAGTGCCTAGCACACGGTGGTGGAGTTCCCAGTAAAATTCTAGCGAAAAATTTCCTTCAGCACGAAATCACGCCCGAATATTTGGCCCAAGGTCTAATGGACGACATCGAACAAACGAACGAAAAAATCCGCAAATTCGGCGCTGAAATCGGTTATCAACACAAGTGATCAAATAAATTTAGGTTAAATTCTTTTTTTTTCTTGTTTTATTTAAATTGAAAATTCATCCAAATGAAGCTTCAGAAAAAATTGGTTTTCTTTTTGTTCTGGCAATAAATGATTGCCAAGGAGATTCGAATTAAAAGTGAATTTTTCAATACATTTCATCCGCACATGATCCAATGCAGTAGGCATTAAAATTCCCATAGCAATTAACACAGTGGCTCAGTTTTTCAAACAAGTCACCATTTGACAGCAGATGTTTTGCATGTGCTTGGCTTACACATGAAATCGCTTTGTGTTTGGATTGACTGTTACAGCGTGTATGTGTGTACGTGTGTGTTAGTATCGATGTATTGGTATTACCAGCAGTTAATGTCAGTTTGGTACATCATAGAAGAAAACCGAAGCGATACACACTTCTAAAACATACCATATAAACGAAAGGGAAAATCTTTCAACAAGAAACTTCATTCAATTGGTGAACAAAAGGCACAGAGCAGAAGGAAAACAACCGAACCGAAAGAAACGAATTGCACAAAATTAAAGAATTCAATAGAAATTTTATTAGAGACATTGAAAATTTGCAAGAGAGAAAAAGAACGACAGAGTTCACGAAGACTTGAATTGAATAAATTGCATGAAATTTGCTGATAAATCTGAAAAAAAAACCAGTGGACACGACAAGGTGTTTAGTTGATACACACAATAAATAAAAGAAAACGTAGCAGTGAAGGAATAAAATCAGTGGTTGTACGACATGGAAGTGGGTGAGAGTGGCGAGAAGCGTCCAAATTTTTCGGCTATAAGCAGTAATAATGGGCCGCTAATTAAATTGCCAACAAATAGTTCATCAAAACCGAGCGACATTCGAAAGCTTGTCATCAAAAATTTCAAAGGTAAAATTCGCATTTCGCGTTTTGGCAGCAACAAAAAATTTATTGGCTTCGTTCGAGCAAATTTCAATCACACACAAATCGAACACAAAGCCTAGTGCGAATCAATTTTTCATACTATGTTTTGATATGGTTAAGGTGTAAGTGTACGATGTTATTGTCTGCGGCAATGAAGCCAAATTTTCTTTCTTTGCCTTCTTTTTTCTATTTGCAATTTTCAACTGAACGCAGTTAATGATTTTTCTAGAAACGAGATACGAGAGGATTTTTTTTTGTCGGTTGAAAAATAAGGTAGCAAATGATGATAATTTACGCCGATAAACTTCATTCATCGAAATGTTGTGCGAGAAATTGAATGCTAGCACAAGCAATCGAGCGTAGAGCATGTAGTGTGTGCGAGTTATTTTGGGCCATTTGAAATGAGTCCTTGGTCAATGCTAAGTTGCGTACAATACATAACCTCACTTACAATGAGGAAATGTTTGTTTTGAGCTTGTTTCGCGTTTGTTCGATGTGTGTCGCTTATTATTATGTCTTCAATTAATCGGCTTTTGTGCATTGGTCGCTTGAATGCGATCGACGGATGCTGATCACGCAAAAATGAGCAAAATTCTTAAAATGTGCCGATTTGATAATCGACACACACTTTAGTATTTGATGAATCATCATTATTTTAAAGATTTTCTTTCCACACTTCTTCATTCACTATCGTATATTGAAAATATTCCGTTGGTTGCAACATGAGAAATTTTTGACATTGGCCGGCCATTGCAAAATACCTGCTGTTAATATGATTGCTTGCGGATCCATTCAATTTGCGGTTCTGAGTATTTATACTCATCAAGGTTTCCGTATTTTGTTTTATTTATGCATTAAATGATGTGTACTTACTCACTTTTCGATTTAAAAATAAATTTTATTAACCGCATTGAACGGAAAAAAGAAGAAGAAGAAGAAGTAAAGAACAACACAGGAAAATGCCATACGCGTATCACTTTAACGCTGAATTCCTGCCGTATTTTGTTGCCAAAACATTTCGAATAAATCATACATACTGAGTTTTTTTTTGTTCTTCCTTGTCACTCTTTTTTTTAAATTCTTATATTCTCTCTCTCTCTCTCTCTCTCTCTCTCTCTCTCTCTCTCTCTCTCTCTCTCT